TAATCCCCTACTCATAAACAACATTTCGACTTGATGAGATGACCTGCCAAGATTATCATTTCCTGCCTACATGACCGAAGAGACAATTATACCGCCGTCCGCGGACGGAAAAGCCGTCGCGCACAGCTTCAACAAGTAAACACTACTGGTATCATGCAGATCACAAGTGATCTGGCTCCTGGTAGATGTTTGAACTCTCGGTTCGATCGCATCTTCATACCATGTATAACTATTTGGAGGGGCGAGCGTAATTTTGTTAGTCGCTTTGTCCTCCTAAGTGATAATTACTCTCCCTGTTCCACGAATGACGAAGTACTCATCGCCAACACAAGGTCACTTGGCATGGAAGTGTCTCGTTTCCTGTTACTTCGTCCTCGTTGTTCCGCTCAACACCTCTTTAAGTGTTCAATTTTCGTTTTGCTCAGTTTGTATTTAAGTGATCGATTACCCCTCAATGCATAAGCATGATAGTGCCATCATCGGGGTAATCCAGATACTATCCATCTGGTTGGCCTACCTACGCAAGATTGTTGTTTTTTCTGTCATTATTACCCTTGTAGAGTCACGTAGATGTGGCCCTACAAAAGAACAACTTACCAATGCACCTGACGCGAGAGGGTGCGCTCAGCCAGGATAAACCTGTCGGCCCTCACGGGCCTCAGTCTCTATCCGGTCGAGTCGCATAAGCTCCTCGTCATCAAAAGTCAAGGTGGAGACGCGTCCACCCCGCGAGACTCGAACCTTCCGCGTATCATAGAGAGAAGTCATCCATGAGGCGAGCTTCCAGACGATGGCGTGGAACAGCTGACGCATCCGAAACAGGTGTGTCGTCGTGGTGTCCTTAATCCGGACGACGCCGTAGCGCTCCCCGGATAGGGTAATTTTGACGCTCACAATGACCCGAGAAAGGCATTGGAGGTCGCTTGCGCGATGAAAGTACAAGGTGTATCCATGAACTTCGTCCGGAAGTCGGGCCACATTGGCCCGAACATCCGCGCGCGAGTTAGGAAAGAATCCCTACCCACCACTGAGCAGGCCAATAAAACCAATCCACCACGTGGGCGCTCCATCCCGAATTAGTAATAATCGCTCCGCTCGCCGGATCAGCTCCTCGTTCGTAGTGTCGCGAATCAGTAGATATCTGGCCTGAGTAAGGTCTCGCCGTCCACTAGGCATCTGCACACCGATGAAGCCACCTGTTAGAAGAGGCACTCATAAATTTCACAAGCCTCGTCATAAAACGCGGTGACGTCAAAACGTTCCGAGCGAATGATGTTAAACCTATTCGCTCGCACCCGTCTCACATGATGAAGGAGGCCGAATGGACCTTGCAACTCATTCAAATGGAGTACGATATAGAGGAACATTCCTCTAACCTCAGGAATGGTCTATACTCCCGGACGGTCCTCGTGGACCACAACTAGGTTCATGTCGCCGTAATCCCGTGATGGATTTGGAGGCGCAAAGTCATATCATACAATACGCTGGCCTGGTTCAACCAAGAAAATATAACTCCGCGGTGGTTTCCTCACGCTCCCGTCCCAGAATCGTGGTACATCCCATTCCGAGTAAACCTCAAGTGGGTTGTACACCAGCCTTCCTTTTCGTATCATGCGGGCGTGGGATATTGTCAGCACCGCCAACCAATTAGTCGTCACCCCGCGTGTGCTGAACAATCGGAGAATCACTGTCTATGCAAGCATCTGAACGACGAAGCGGTAACTCTTGTCAAAATAATTCAGACATACCCACTTCCATGTTCAATCTTCACTCCCCTTTTCGGGCGTGATTCTTGTGTCACGGTCCGATCACGAGAGTAGTGCCTATTTGCACTCCCATTAACACTAATTGAATCACGGGCTGGGCTTCTTGTAGCGTCATCCCTCCCACACGTTGGTGGCTCCTAAAGCGGTCACCCGGCCGGGTACTAGACTCAGCCTCCCCTTTTCCTGAACGCACGAGGAGGCGACTGCCCCTAGCTTCAAGATACCCTTCCCTCTAGGAAGTGGTTTGGAATACCCCTCCCCCTCGCCCGAACACATTGTTCAGGACTCAGAAATTGGGCTGGCTCCACTGCAATAGCATGGTATCCCCCCGCAAAAGTGGTCCGCTCCAAGTCGATAACAGGGCCGGCCCCTAAGGCAACGAACCCCCGCCTCAGATGCCTCCTGGAGAGAAGAAGCCTAGACCCTAGGTGCAGACGACCGCTCTATGCCTTCCCGGCTAAGGGTCGACTATGACGAATTGAGAAGAGAAAGAAGTAAGATATTTTGGACGGGCATAGAAGGACAGTGGTCGTTCGAGACAGAATGGGGAAATCCTTGAGAAGATACTAAGGTCTTCCCTTGCCTTCTTTTCTTTTTAATTTTCTCATCGCCTTCATTCTTTCGGCACCCGTCCGTTCACACTTATATTATTACTTTTGTTTCTTCTTTTTTCTGTCACATGCATTCAGGTTGGGCGGGAGAGAGGTAAGCATCCCCATTATTATCTTGAGTCAACCATGCAGATTCCTTCTCACATGCATCTCCTAACCTACCTGCACAATCAGGAAAAGAAACAATCCAGAGATTCATCCATCCCCAAAACAAGTCAGCCCTTTCTTCACACACATGACATCACATTCTTACTCTACCTTTTCCCCTGAATTCAAAGCAAGGTCATGCAAGGTGTGGGTTCACGCGGGTGTGCAAAGGAACTGAGTCACATTGACCTTGAGTGGATTTTTTGAAGGCCCACTCAAGAAGCCAAATATGTTCTCAAGAAAAAGTTTTGTCGCACAACCTTTGTTGTGGCCGTTCCCAAGGACAAGCCACACCCTCCTTCAAACGCCACCACTGACTCAGGCGCCGCTCACCAACACAGAAGCGAGCTCGCCGTTGAGGAGAGTGTCCCACTCTCGAATCCCATGGCCTCAACGTCACACCTTCCACCAAAAACAGCGCCGATTCAACCCACCAAATACCAAGTCAGGTCGCCACCTGCCTGCCACAATACTTGGTGGTTCCGGACTTAATCCCCGCTTACTCGATATGCTGCAAAAAAATAACAACGGCCTCGACAATTCTTACAAGTGTCGCGTGCCACTACGTCCTCAACAAGACGATCGCCACACCCTTCCTATTTCAAAATGCACTTCCACCTCGGCGGTACCGTCCCTGCGACAACGTCGAGTCCCCCTTCTCGCAATCCTGTACAAAATACTGTTGCCACATAATCCGGCAACACCCTCGCAGTACCGCCAAGAAAATCGGTGCTGTTGCTGCAAGAATTCGGCAGCGCTTCCGCCGTTCTGCCAAGAATATCAGTTCTACCGCTGCACAATTTCGGCAGTGCTTCCACTGTACCGCCAAGAAACCGCACGCTGCCGCCGCACAATTTCGGCAGCGCTTTCGCTGTACTGCCAAAAAACAGGTGTTGCCGCCGCAAGACTTCGGCAGCGCTTCCGCCCCACCACCCTAGCAAACCAGCAGCAACCTCAAGGCTACGGCTTCCCCATAGCCTGCAGCACAGCACAGAAGGTGGGGCAAGAAGCTCCCAGCCTTTAACTATGGCTGCCTCCTCCTTCCTCCAAGTGCTTCTGCAGACCTCCATCACTTCGCCTCCTCACACCAGCAGCCAGCCAGCCAGCATCTACTCAAGTAGAATGTCCCAGCAGCATTGCCACAAGTGTGAGGCTGTTGGGTGGCAGGCTAGCTTTTATAGCTGGTTGAAGGCTGAGGGCAGCTACTTTGCCCCCAGCCAAATCTCAGAATAGCGCCTGGCCCTTGATCAAACTCACGATCAAGGGTCAGGGAACTTGATGTTCCCCTAGGGGAACCAAATTCTGAACCCTGGTAATGCATCTGGCCTTCACCCGCGGCCAGACGCAGCCTAGAAATGGTTGTACTCAGCCATTTTCAAGCAGACTGTTGAAACCAATAGTCTGCTACCTATCCATAGTCCAGATGCTTCTAAACTTGCATCTGGACCGAGGCCGCGGCTAGATCCGCGGCAGTTTCCCTTCTTTTTTTTTTTCAACTTCTCCCTTTTTTTTTTTTTTTTCGTTTTTTTTTTTTTTCTCTAAGGCAGGGGCAGCTCGTCGTCTGAGAAACGAACGAGCACTTCCCCCCCCCTAAGTCATTTCACAGAGTCGAACTAGAGTCAAGCTCAACAAGGTCTTCTTTCCACCCTTTGCCTCGTACTCGTACCCGGACGCTCCCGGCGCCAGGTTCGGGCGTGCAGGCGAACACTGCAGCCTGTTTCAAAGCCCGACGGGCACAGTGTTGGTCTCTCTCCCTCTGTCTCTCTCTCTCCCTCTGAACCTGGCCACCTAGGGCGGCACATTCGCTGCGCACGGGCAGACTGTTGGGGTTCAACCCCCTGATGAGTCCGTGGAAGTCCGACGAAACAGTCTGGCTTAGCCAGACTTCTTGCCCGTTTGTCTAGAACGAACGGACACTCGACAAATCTTCAGGCCAAAAC